AGCCCATTGAATTTGCTGAAGAAGTGGTGGAGGAGGTAGATCAGTATAATGGGTTCAATCTGATATTGGTCGATATTTGTTCGAAATCCATGGTTTATCTAACGAACCGACCGGCAGAAAACGGCAACTTTGTTACTGAGGTTTCACCCGGAATTCATGTGCTAACAAATGCAAACCTAGATTCACCTTGGCTCAAGGTAAGTTGTGGCATGTTAATCGATACATGATCTGTTTCAAACAATTTTAGTTTCTATATACTTGTTTGGCAAGGCTTGATCTGGTTTTTTGATGTTTATAAACTTGATAGTTAAATACATCCGAATTCGATCATGTAGTGGATATCCTTGATGTCAAAATGGATTTCTTGTTTGCAAAGTTTGTGATTTTTCATGCATATTCACTTGTTGATCTTGTCCTATATTGCTCCGACTCGTAATTCTACTTGAAGTAGCTGATGTTATTCCGACTCTTCAATGCTCCGATATTTGTAACAAACACGTGTCTGAACACAGATATGGAGATATAACCTGTAAATACATGTAAAACTTCCATATTTGATACCCAAGTCCAATCATCATAGATATTGCTAATTTTTATAGGCTAATTCTAGTTTCGCTGTCATGCAGGCTCAACGATTGGATCGAAATTTCAGGGAGGCGTTGGCTAAATACGGTAACGACAACGAACTTCCGGTTAAAGAGATGGTTGCCGGACTAATGACAGACACCACTACAGATGATTTAAGCTCATTACCTCAAATATACCCCCCCGAGACTGAACATCCTATGAGTGCCATTTACATAGATGTCACTCGTCCTCGGGTAATCTTTAGTCGTATGAGTTATGGTGAATATGAATTCACGAACTTGACTTCTTTTTTTGGGTTTGTGCAGGGGCGTTATGGAACGAGAAACCAGTCTGCATTGACGGTGAAATCAGACGGCGAGGTGTGCTTTTATGAAAGATATTTGGACAAGGATCTATGGAAAGAGCATACTGTAACTTACCAAATAGAGATGACAACAAAGTAGACTCATTCAAGAAAACTACAAATGGAAATGCATCATCATATATTTCATTTTATTTCTATTTTCATCTTTCTATTGTATATATATATAATTTTGATCTGGACTCGATTTGATTTTCGAATCCGAAATTATCTAAAATTACTTGAAACATCTCATAAACCAGGTTCCACTTATCAAGTGAGACAGTAGCACGGTTGATAAATACAGTATTTGTACATCAAACATGCAAAACACAGATTTTGCAGCTCATTTACTGGCAGTAACACCACACTCTTTCTCACAAGATCTGCCATTATTATCCCCATACATTACGAAACACAACAACTGGTGCATCCCGTCCCGTCTTATGATCGGTTCCATTATTTCCTTGATATTATCATCAATCGGAAAGTCTCTCTTGGACTAAAACTTCGGTTATATGGTAAATATTTATGGTTCTAACTCCGTCATGAACCATCTTTTTCTCAGCTTTTTTCGGTTATTGAAAAACAGCCACGTAGGCCATGAATTTGTGAAAAGAACAGGGAAGTGGTCGAGTCCCGACAATTGTGCTGCGATTCACAACTGTCTATGGTCGGTTTGTATTGTCAGAGCAAAATATCTATCAACTTACTGCAGGGCGGGGATGTCAGAAAGTTGTCTTAGTTTTTTTTTACTTGGGTAAACCACAAGATTGATTACTAAAATGTGAGTAAATTTTTGTTTTTCCGATTAAAGTTTCAAAATAATAAACTAGTCACTAAACGTAACGTTATCAATTTATTATAACAAATAGGGGTAATTGTGGAATGTAATGAGTGATGAAGAAGATATTTGCATGTTTTGGGGAAGAAATAGTTAACCTGCAAGCCATACCGCCGGGACTGGGGAAGGACAGCCACACCTGTCGTTACACACCGCTCCACCACCCCTCGTATCCGCTATTTTTGCAGTTTTCTTAATTATTTTTGTGAAGGATGAATGAAATTCTCACTGTGTTTTGATTTAAATGGGTGTTGCCAACCTCTTGCATGTAAACCAAGTGGCGGTGAAGAAAATCGGAGAAGATAACACATGGCTGTACGTGCCCAACAATATCGTTTCATTTTCATCGTCATCAAACCAAACCCGCAATATTTGTCTTGAAAACATCCGTTCTTCTAAAAATATCTATCAACATATATTCCATTTATCAATGATTATTTTGAATTAAATTTTATAGAGATATATTATGATGTCTATTCTCCTAACTTAATTTATTTCATGCGTAAATGTCAATATTTGAACTCATAATAAAAATATTTCAGTGTAGAATTTTTATTATTTTATTTAATAATATCATTTTTAATATATAATTTAAAAAATATTTTATATAAAATGTTTAATTATATTTTTAATAATTTATATTCATGATTAATAATCATTTTTATCATATTATTTATGTTTTTTATTTTTATAAAGAAAATTATTAACATCAATTCAATAGATTTAATTTTTTTCGTTAATTAAACTAATTTAATAAAAAAAATAAAATTTAAGAATATAAATTTTGAAAACTTAAAAGTTTCTTTAATAATTTCAAAAGCAAAAAATATCATTAACCCTAATAAAATAAGCATTAATATTGAGCGAAACTAAGCACGGAAGCGTTTATCATATTTATAAACATAATAAATGCAACGCACGGTAAAATAGAGGTTAAATTTCAATTTGATCCTTCTGTTGTTTAATAATTTGATAATTCATCTGCATATTTTAATTTTGTATAATTTGATTCTATAAATACTATCAATCAATCTAAATCGTTAACATCCTATAATTGTTTTTCACTAAAATACAAATATAATTCTTTAAATATATAATTAAAGTGATATGTCATTATCAATCAAATTAAAAGTTATGTAGGGACTCACTTTGTTGTTCAGAAAAGCAGTGTACTCTTTTACGATGGGTAATTTTTTATATCAGTCCTCATAGATATTTCTTCGTATAGAATTTAAGATAATTTATCTTTTAGGGTAACTTACACAAATGTTCATCTGATTATATGATATTATTTTTGTAAGTTATTTGACTATTAAAAGTTATAAAATAATTCCTTGACTATAGAGCGTTATTTTACTGAGTTATTTGACTATTAAAAGTAATAGTACTAAAAGCAATAGCGGTGCCAGTATACAATATTAAAATATGATTATATCATATCTCAGTCCGCATTCTAACGTCCTGCTCAGATGAGCGTTAATTTTTTAATAGAAAATGACGATTTTAGAACATATGAATACTCATGTGACCATTTTATAAATTTTAATAGTTAAATGACTCAGCAAAACGTATTATAATTGAACGATCGTTTTGTAACTTTTTAGTAGTAAAAGAAATTAATAAAATAACACCACAAATCAGGGGACTATTTGTATATTATACCCTAACTTTTATTGAAAAGGTGGATTTCTCAGTAGCAGAACAGAGTTATTATATCATATGGGAGGGACAGCACGAATAATGCAGGAGATGGGGATCCCAATGAGATGAGTAAATTCCCAAGCATGCCCTCAAAACAGGGACCAAAACAATAATCATCAATCTTTATTGTGTATTTGCCAAGTGTCCCAACCCAAAAATATCCGCCATACTATCTCTAATCTCTTATGTCACATCATTTTCATCAATATCTAATTAACAGTTTTTATTTAAAAGTTATAAAAATATTTAAGAAAAAAGAATGAGACAAACGATTATTCATACAAATATTAAACATGAATTTTAATATCATATTATTTTTTATCCGAATATATTATTGAAATCATAAAAAGTTTGAATTTATTAAATGATTTTAATAATAAAAGAAAATATTAATTTTATTAAAAATATGAATTTAAATAGACACTTCAACAAGATATACATTAGTTGTCAATAAACGATAAAGATTTTATGGGGTCCAACATTATCTGTGGATCATAATGTTTCAACTTTAAGTTTGGAGGTCACCACTAACCTCTCATAGGACAACTATTGGTTTTCCCTTTTTACCCCTTCATGATTGATAAAAAAAATTCTTCTGTGATAACTTATAATTATATAAATCTTAATTATATTTGGAGTATAACTAATTAAATTTTTAAATAATTTATACAGATTTTCAATATTATTTTTATTTATAAAATTTAAACGTAAAATCGTATTTAAAAGAAATCAATTTTATTTATAAATTTAATATATAGGATTAAAATTCACTTATATTTAATATAAAATTTTTAGTTTTATACATTGTTAGGATCGTTAGACAATGAAAATAAAATGATGAGACTAACTCTTTATTTTTTTTCTAAATAAATACATTATCATTTACAACTATTAATCTCAATATTTTATTTTCTTATCTACTGTTTATAATTAGTAATTACTATTTATAATTAGTAATTACTATTTACTACTATAGTTATCACGTGAGAACAGGGTAGATTGTCATCTCAAATATATTATCTTAATTACTAATATCTAACAACTGACAGAGACATCATGCATCACTTTTGTCCTTGTATGTCTACAAATTATATCCAATTATTTATTAATATCTTTTTCCTATTTACATTGAAATACAGTAACATATGAAATAAGCTGTTGAATGTAGCACTTTTGCTAAGCATAATTAATAATATTAATTATTATAATTATTGAACTGCAAACATTATATTAAGAAAGGTTTATTTTAAGTAAATCTGGTCAATTATTGAAATTATTTATCTTTATTTTCTCATATATTTAACCTACATAATTGATAATTTATAAAGTAATATTTATTTACAATATATTTTATGTAGAGATATTTTACCGACATAACTGACGACTTCTCGAATATGACTATTTGAGACCCCTATTATCTTTTTCGTGAAGGTCATTTGGATTTTTAATTAATTAAATAAATAAAAATTATAATAAACTAAGTTTTAGCATATACAACTATTTTCACGTCAACCTGTTTGTATAAATATCTGAAACCCTAAACTCATAATTATTAACATGAAAAGCAGAATCAATATTCCATGGAAAAGAATCAGATGATTTCAATCCAAAAACAAAACCAAGAAGAAGAAAAATGAAATGAAATTCAATCCAAAGCATTTGGACCAGCACAAGCTTTCAACACAGGACTCCACACCCATTGCACCATGAATTTTCTTCCTTTATTGCCATTCATATTGTACGTCTTCCCTCTCCGATCCCTCATAACTTGACCGATATACCCTCCGCCACCGCCAGTTCCGTACAATCCTTCACATAGATCTCCTATCTCGGTCGGTGCGGTCGGGTCCTCACCGGCGTACCACGCGTTCACGAGTGGATTGGTAGTTAGTTCGGCTAACTCGTGCGCGATCACACTGATCATTCCGTCCAAGCCGACGTCTCCGTTGGGCGGGACTAACGCTCCCGGACCTCCGCCGCCCATGTATCCGGGGACGGCGAAAGGGTAAGCGCATACCTCCGGGCATTGTTTCCCCGAGTTCCCGATCCATGCATAGGGCAGAGTGTGACCCACCATGGACGGGAACGTGAAGTAATGGAAGCCGCAAACGGCACGGCAAAAGTCCTGAACGGTGACGTCGTGGGACGTGAGGATTAGGTAGATTCCGTTACGGTGGTCGACGGGGAAAGGAGCGGCTCCAACGGCGGTGGAAATAACCTGTTGGACGGAGAGGCGCGTGAGGTGAGAACCGTGGGAGTAGGCCGAGTCGGAGTGTTCTTTAGCAATGACAACGGCTCGGGAAACATTGGCTCCGGTCTGGTCGGTGTATAGGGAGACAGTTTTCCACCAGTCGGAAACGGAAGGCGACGGCGGCGCGGCGGAAGGGGAAATGGAGTTAATGAAGTCTTTGATGATGAATTTTTGAGAAACAGACCATTTACCGTACCAAATAAGATAAATGTTGATCGGCGACGAGGAAAGGACCGGACCCATGTGGTACCGGATATCGACAATTTCCGATGAGCCTTCAAACTTTTTGGAAGAGGAGAGAGTTCTTGGTGGAAGCTTGGGGTTGAAAAGGTTAGCATCTTGAGTGTTTAAAGTTTGGTCCTTTACGGTGGCGGATAGTGAGGAAGCGGCGGAGGATGTGAGTATTAGAAAGGGAAAGAGAAGATGGTGGAGAGTCATTTTGTGCGGTGGCGGTGGCGGTGGAGGGAAATGAGGGGGATAATTGGGGTGTATATAAAGAGGGGAATGGACTGGAGACCGCTGCATGCTGCTACGTGTGGCCGCGCATTCTTTAACCTTTCTCTTTCAATCAACCCATCTACACCTTTTATTATAAATGATTTTCATTACATGCAAAAAGTAACTAAACGAGTTACTAAAAGTAAACAACTATTTCTAACCCTGTAACCCAACATATCTTGTATATTCTTAATCATTTCTATAGTATTAATTAGGGGAAACTACACATTTAGTACTTAAATTATCAATTTTAATTTGTTTTAGTACTTAAACTTTCAATTTTTTTGTAACCATACGTAAAATTTATATTTTGTTTTATTTTAGTACCATGTCGTTAAATTTTTAAAAAAAATGAAAATCTAGGTACCAAAACACGTTTAGTACCTAAATCATAATTAAGTTTTTGATTTTTTTGAAAAGTTATGTACTAAAACGGATCAAAATTGATAGTTTAGGTTAAGTTTTTAATAATGGGTACTAAAATGAAATAAATAGTAACTTTAGGTATAGTTTTAAAAAAATTAAAAGTTTAGATACTAAAACAAATCAAATTGATAGTTTATGTACTAAATATGTAATTTATCTTATTAATTACTGAAATTTTTTAATTCATCTTAAATTTAACATCATCTATTCAGATTATGGAGGGTAATATTTGGGTTCTGGCTATTGAAGGTGGTTCGTTTTTTTAAATTTAGACTAAAAATCATAGCTATTTAAATACAATTAAAGTCATTTGATTTATAAAGTTTAAAGGGGAAATAATTAATGAGAAAGAAGATCCCTTTTATTAACTTTGAATGAATAGTTATTTGTATATAATGAATTTTAGTGTGAGTGTCGAATATAAGGTAATGATAGTTATTTGTATGTTGGTAGGTTAATTAGATTTTATTACCAGATATCAAATCTAACTATTACTGATAGTGGTGGAACACAAGATGGACTAATGGAGGCCTTCTCCCAAATTTAAAAAAATTATGATTTAGACCCTTCAAATTTTTTAAAAAATAAATTGGTTCCTCCAATTTTTTTGAAAAGTCATATTAAACTTTAAAATTTTTATATGTTCTTAATTAAACCCCTCTCATAATTTTTAAAAATTGTCATTAAGTCTCAAAATTTCAAAAAATTCAGTTAGACCCTAGTTTTGGAGAGAAAAAATGTACACTAATCCCTTCAAAATTTTAATTCAAACCATTCAATTTTTTTAAGTCTTAAGTTGATCCCCAAACTCTATCACTAAGTTTTACCATTAATGAATCTTTTAGAAATCATATCGAAAGATTGTAATTGTCCGAAGGACGTAAAGTTTTAAAAAGTTGAGTATCTTCGGAGGTAAAGAGCTTTAGAGGTAGTAAGGAACTTCATAGACCTCAATGTTTGATAAAAAAATATATGGTAGTCGGGGTATAACTTTAGAAGGAAATATGAAGCAGGTATAATATAACTAAAAAGACTTAAAATATAAGATATCATATGTTCAGAATTTTTCTTAACAATTGACAAAACATACATATCTTATAGACGCAACTATTCGAACCTAAAATCTCTAGCAACAACAACACTCTATTTAGTTACCAAACTCATTTGATGAGTTAAATAGGAGACTTTTTCTAATTACTTTTAGCTGGCAATAAGAAAATGTATTAAACTATGGCAACAGGACTTTTCTTTTCACTGTAATAGAAAACATTGGCTTTATAATACAAATCTTGATCCAATTAACAAAGGCCGAAGAAAGTAAAGTCGAACGCTTTTGATGAAAATGAGAACATGGATGATTGATAATTTGGTTTAAATTTCATGACTATGGGTCTACTGATGGGTTTACAGCTTTGTTAATTTACAGTTTATGGCTTTAGGTCGACGATAGTTAATGAGTTTGATTTCACAGTTGAGCGAATAATAATGGGTCGGGAAAGACAACTTAGTTAAGGTCTGGAGAAGAAGAGTAAAAAGGAAAATATAAAATAAAAATGATTAAGAATCAAACTACATATTAGATATTATTCGGGTAATGATATACTTTTTTTAATAATGAATAATCAAAATTATAATATATTTAAATATAGAAAAAAAATTAAGAAGTGATAAAAAAATTTATACAAAAATAAAAATATGAAACTCAAGATACGAAGAAAAAAAATGAAATATTCCGTTAATAATAGCGACAAACATAAAAAGAATCCAATAATCTTTATAAAATTTCATTGTCGTTGTTGAATGAGATGTTTTATGAAGTGAAAAAATTGTAGTGAGAGAATTAAATTATCTGACAGACTGCTTCGATACACAATTCTGATTATATCGACAAATAATATTTTACCAAATATGGGATCTGACTATATGTACCAACAAATCAATCAAAAAATAAATATCATGATGATCTTTGTATGAGCACCAAAATGACCGCGAAGGTATGTGAAAAACATACCAAAAGTTACGAGAAATGTATGACAAAAATAGAGAAAAACGTGTTACAAGAACACATTCTTATTTAAAATTAAAAAAATTAAAGAAAAAAAATGACATAGTGTAAAAGAAATAAGAAAATTAATAATCATCTACATAATCCGATCTAACATTAAGATTGATATTGCCAGACGAAACAAAAAACAAAGGAAAAGAAAAAAATCATAAATATATTAAGAACAAACATAAATAAAAAAAATATTTACTTTAGGATTTAATCTTTGAATTGAATGTTAATATATTTTACTGAATTTTAACATATTGATTTTAAAACAATTACGAAATATAATGTTCATCATCTATTATAATAAAAAAGTAAAAAAACAGTTATATATATATAATTTAGACATTTATTCCATTACAAAACATTTTAAATTTGATAAAATAAATTTTTTTATTTTAAAAGATCGATTTGGTTTATCTTAAATCGGTTAAATTATGAGCAAGTTACCAATTATTTTATTTCATTTTATTTGAAATCTTGAAGGCAAATTGTCAGAGAGGAGGAGTATCGCATCGCATCGCGTTCTGCGAGAGAGAAGCTAACGAACACGTGAAGTTTAGAAATAGTTTTTCAGTAGGATAAGTCTTTTCACCAATGTGCTTTGTTCTTTCTCTCTGATTAGGGTTTTTCTTTCTACCAATATGCTTTGTTCCTTCCATGAAATTCCAATTACACCCAGATTTTCAAGGTATGTTTTTCACGTGTTTCTGCAATCTGGGTCTTTCATTATTTGTTTCAAATTGGTCCATGTTTTGTTCTCTTTATTTATTTTGCCTTCCTTCTGTTTGTTGATATTTCCCAATTAAACCCATTTCGTGCTTCTTCTTCTTTTTCTTTCGAAATGTTGGGTAATTTTCAACTGAAACTCAGCTCTCTGATCCCCTTTCATATGATGAGATCCGAGAGTATAATTTCTTCTTGTATTTGGACTGGGCTTGAATACTACATTTCTTGAACATGTTATTGCATTGTATCTTTTCTACCAATGTGTTTTTCGTTCTGGAATTTGTTAGTACTGTTTTTTTGGGGGGGGGGCAGTTCCTATATCTGGGTAGATATTTGATAAAATGGCTAACGTAATTTGAATTGATGTACCTTACAAGATATTGATTAAAATCGCAACCCCATTTCGATGGTGAAATATCATGGTGTCATGAAATTGCAAATGCTGGCCCATTAGTTGGATGTTTGACTTATGAAAAATCTCATCTTTACCTCTGATAAAATGGCTGGAGTTTACTTTTTCAAGCATATTGTCAGATCTGAATGTTTTTAATTTATTTATTTGCAATGTCTGTTAATGAGTTTCTTCTTTTGATCCTTTGGCACAGATATGAGTGATTAAACATTTGCCTCATTGCTTGCTAGTTTGAGCACTTCTCTTATTACATGTTAGTTGTGATCAGGGTGCATTTAAGGCTAGAGGCCAAAGTTTACTTCATGCTCATATTAGCCAATATTAGCATTATTGGCTTGTGCAAATACTGCAACTCTTAAATTGTATCTAAATCGGGATGCATTTTCTATCCCTTTTTCCATTTTCGGGTTCAATGTTTTAGATGAGATATGCTGGGGAAACTCTTTTCATGTTCATAGCAATCTTCTTTTATCGATATCTTTGGACCGTTTTAGATATCTTATTCATCCCTAAGAAGTCAGTGAATCATATTGGTAGAATCAAGCAATCACTAGAGGCCTCGACTTAAAATTTCAGTAACCAAGTAATTAAGCATGGATTCCTTTTTAACTGGTGTCTACTTAACATTTGGCTTAAGCAAGCTAACTTGATGGTACTTTTTGCTGCAATTTTAACATTTGTATTAAATTTTTTCTGTCCAGGCTTTGCAAATATATTGAAGGGAAGGGACGGTGAAGAAGAAACTGCCATCTTGTGATGAAATGCTTTGCTGATAATAGGGAGAAAGCCTAAGCTGTTAGATAGTCGGTTGTTTGAAGACAGTTAATGGAATAAAGATTCCTTCCTATTTAAGAGTAGATGTGAATCATGAAGTGGATGAAATTCCCAAAGCGATACTTAATTGTCATTTTAACCTTTGTCAGCACATGTGTATGTTACATAGAACGAGTTGGTTTCTCCATAGCATACACCGTTGCAGCAGATGCTGCTGGGATTAACCAATCAAGCAAAGGCACAATACTTTCCACGTTCTATTATGGTTATGCTTGTTCTCAGGTGCCTGGAGGATGGGCGGCTCAAAAGATCGGGGGAAGGAAGGTTCTTCTTCTCTCATTTGTATTATGGTCATCGACTTGTTTTTTGGTTCCACTAGATCCAAATAGAGTTACCATCTTGGTCGTTGCTCGCTTGCTTGTTGGTGTGGCACAAGGCTTCATCTTTCCTTCTATCCACACTGTCCTAGCACAGTGGGTTCCTCCACATGAGAGGTCAAGATCTGTTTCACTTACAACTTCCGGGATGTACCTAGGTGCGGCTATGGGAATGCTTGTCCTTCCGAGCCTTGTGAAGTTCAGAGGTCCCCAATCTGTATTTCTTGCAGAAGCAGCATTAGGTGTCATGTGGTCTTTCCTCTGGTTTAAGTATGCAACTGACCCCCCTCGATCCGAGCATCAGAAAGCCACTGCTGCTACTTTTGGTGAATCTATGTTACCTACCAAAGCAAGTCAGAAGATAAAAGTGGAGAATGGACCAACTACTGTCAGAACTTCCAAGATCCCGTGGAAGAGAATTTTAGTCAGCGGGCCAGTTTGGGCGATCGTGGTAAATAATTTCACATTCCACTATGCTCTTTATGTATTAATGAACTGGCTTCCGACATACTTCGAGCTGGGTCTCCAACTCAGTCTTCAGGAAATGGGTTTTGCGAAGATGATGCCCTATTTCAACATGTTCATATTCTCGAATATCGGCGGGGTTCTTGCTGACCACTTGATCACCAAAAGAATAATGTCTGTGACTAAAACTAGGAAGTTCTTGAACACTGTAGGATTTATAGTCTCTTCTCTTGCTCTGATGGCACTTCCGATTTTCAGAACATCTGGTGGAGCCGTTTTCTGTTCTTCCGTGGCTCTTGGTTTCTTGGCACTAGGGAGGGCTGGGTTTGCAGTGAATCATATGGACATTGCACCTAAATATGCAGGAATTGTAATGGGTGTCTCTAATACAGCCGGTACTCTAGCTGGGATCATTGGGGTCGATATGACTGGACAGCTTCTTGAAGCTGCTGAAGCCGAATATTCGGACCTTTCTAGTCCAGAAAGCTGGAGAGCAGTATTTTTCATTCCCGGATCGCTCTGCGTATTTAGTTCTTTCATATTCTTGCTATTCTCAACAGGGGAGAGGATATTCGACTGAAATAAGCCATGCACACTTCTATTTTTGACTTGGTATATTCATTTCATCGATCACTGCTATTGATGAGATCTCCGATGTTACGAAATCTAAACCCGACTTGGGACGAAGATATTTATTTTTAGAATACCATAGAAGGTCAAAAGCAATCAACACATAACAGTAGCTATTAGAAATTCATTTTTCGATTGTTGACATGAAAGGATCGTGTGCTCATTTCTTTTTTCCAACATTGAGCTTAGCCGGTTGACTCTCACTTTAAATTTGATTATTGTTATGCATATGAGAGAACTCAAGCCTAGCAAATCTTTTGAACTATATTTGTCATTGTTTGATACCACTACTATGAATGCAGTGGGAACATCTTGCTTCTGATAATTAAGATTGTCTATGATGTTCGTAAATTCAATTTGATGTATAGTTGTGGAGATCCCGGTGGATAAGCAGTGGTGGCGGCTGCTAGAGGCGGCCATGGTGGTTCTTCAAATATGCTTCTAATAGGTACATTTATTGGGCAACTGTTATACATGGCTATGCTCATCGGATACAGGTATGTTTTCCTATGTATTTCGAGGATTATATCTCATACGCATTTAGATTTCGTACACGAACATTTCAAGAATAATGAAAAATATAACAAATAGCAAATCATGAAGTACTTTTAAATTCTTTTTCTACATAAATCAAACTACCTACTTGCCAATAAAATGAAGAAACAGAGATAAATTCGAACATCCGTCGTCAAAACTTCCAAAATATCCATAAAATATTTAACCGTACTCAGTTGTTCTTGACAGCTGAAGCTTGCTTTGCACCAACGGAGAAGAACTCTGTAATGACTTCGAGGGGCATGCCTTTGGTTTCAGGCACTTTTAAGAACACAAACACCCACGATATAACACATACGACTGCATACATACCGAAGACACCGGCTAAACCAACCGATTTGAGCAGTACTGGGAGTGAATACGTGATGATGATGTCGCAAATCCAGAATGTAAGGGCGCATATTGCGATGCACAGCCCACGAACCCGCGTCGGGAAGATCTCGGCACAGAGAATGTTTGGGATTGGACCGAATCCCATGACCGAACCTGCAACAATGATTTGCCGATGAGAATGGTTCAAATAACAACGCGGTCGACCACCATAATATAAGAATATTCAGGCCAAGAGAAAGGTATACGAATAAAGAAACCCGAAAACGGAACAGAACTTACCTTCTACCAGCAACATCCATAAGCCGCATAGCAACTGCAATACTCGGAAGCATCAACAAGGTCGTAATGCCACTGATAAGCAGAGATGCAGAAGACGAACTGATGCCCAAGTTCGAAAGAAGAACTCCGACTCCTGCCTGCTCGAGAATTTGGGGAGTGTAGTATAGCACTCCATTTATACCTGAAAACTGCATTTAAAAGGAAAGAATAAAGAACGACCCTCAATAAGCAAATAAGGCCTGGTAAACAGTTTTGCAATAGTACTATCCGTGTATACGATTACACATGAATGTGTGATTGACAAAAGAGAGATGATTATGGTTAGGTTCTCTACATTACCTGCTGAAGTAATTGAATTCCGACCCCTACTGCTAAAGCGTGCTTGACTCCTGGTTCAAAGAGATCCTTCCAACTTGGTCCCTTAGCAGTTTCCACCGGATGAACCATAGCCGGTCCAACTGGATGCTGCTTCATAAGCTCGGTGGAATAGAGAGCCGGCTGACTCACCAAGGCAGAAGCTTGGACGTACTGACTGTCTGCAGGGGATTCAGCACCGGGGAGAGAAACCAGTGATCCACGCATCGATCCTGGTACACCCTCTTGGTGCAAATAAATTCTTTTAAATCCTCCTTGCTTTTTTCCATCCGGACCTTCTTTTTCGGACAACTGCCATGCGATCTGCCAACCACCACCGATACCCATGCTACCAACATGTTCTCCAGTAGTTGATTGCATTAGACTACCGTGCCTTAAGCTTGTAAGGCTTCCATGGCCAGCTGGAACTATGTCCTTGTCCAAACTGGTTGTTTGCCGGGAGATCAAAGGACTATGCAAGTTGTCATCAGAATCAGCACCGCCACCATCGGATTGGTAGTCCTCGCCGTCTCTGGGAACAATGTCATCATCCCACTCTTCGTTTCTAGCTTGATTACCTCCAACGCTAAACATGCTACCAAAGTGCGGAAAAAGCGCGCTGTGCATGCTTCCTGTTTCCGGGAGCTTCTCATGGACACTTCCAAAGAGGGTAACAAGCGGATCCACAAGACCACTTCTCTGAGAAGCTAAGCTTCCATGCCGAGAAACAAGACCTAGAGTACTCTGTCCAGTGACGGGTCTGGCCACCCATGAAAGACCTTGTTCGGGTCCATATAACTTGATTTGATCTTTATCAGCAGAGATATCTTGGTCTTCGATGTCCTCGTTGGCCGGACCAATTATGTACTCCTCTATCGATGTTTCACCTCCAACACCAAGTCCCTCAACTAGCAAAGCCATCTCACCTGTTCATTTCAAATAATATCGGAATCATTCGCAAAATGCATCATTATTCACCATATTGCCAGCCCATGGCAGGAAGTAATTGCAATTCATGCATTAGTTACTAAGAAAGAGTGGTTGCGGATGACTAACCAGCAACATCTTCCCGGCCGCGTAGTCTCTGCAAAACTTTTTTCGCCTCTCTCATTCGCCCTTTACTTACTAGCCATCTTGGTGACTCAGGCAAGAAGAAAACAGTTGATGCAAAATATACAAGAGACGGAATAGAAAGAACTCCAAGCATCATTCTCCAATTCGGTAAGTCCGTTAACAACATTCCAAAAACCATGCAATACGAGAAAAACATTCCAAAAGAACCAGTAAACTGTGGAAGGGTATTCAACAATCCCCTTATTTCAGGTGGTGCCATCTCGGATATGTAAACAGGGACCAAAGTTACAGCTAAACCAACCCCAAAGCCATCCAAAAGCCTCGCCAAAAGCAAGATATAAACATTAGGAGACCATAACATTACAAGACCACTAAGACAGTAAAGAACGGACGAGATTATTAGCATCGGGCGGCGGCCTAGCCAGTCCGATATTCCTCCCGAGCATGTAGTAATGCATGTGGCTCCGATAAGAGACATGGCTACAATAAGGCCTTCTATGGTCGGTTCGCTTTCCAATTTAAACTCTCTCTTTATGTATAAAACAGCGCCTGCAACGTGAATCACAAAGAGGATAACTAGTTAATCGATCGAAAGATAGAAAAAAGAAATGATTTACATTGAAGTATGTTAATCATTTTAAGGATGAAAAACTCGTCAACTCGAATTTACCATGGATCTTTGACATATAAAAGCTATCATCTTAGTCCAAAAAGACTGCATTTTCGGTGTTGAACTGCATATACACAGCAATTAAAGAAACCGAAGACGATAACTAATTTATCAATATAAAGAGATGGCAAAACACCCTTTACATTGAAGTAGGGAAGAACTGTATATACTAATCATCAAGTAAAGAAAATCCCCCCATCAATTCAATTAGATCATCAACTCGAATTCACCATAGATATTCGACACATGAAAGCTATCATCTTAGTTCAGAAGACCGAATTTTCGATGTCGAACTGCATATGTATAGCAGTTCATAAAAGCCAAAGCTGATAACTAATTAATCAAATGCAAAGAGATGACAAAACACCCTTTCACATTGAAGTGGAGAAGAACTGTATATACTAATAATTGAGGAAAGAAAAACCCCATCAATCCAATTAGATCAACTCAATTTCACCATATATCTTTAACAAATGAAAAGCTATCATTTTAGTCCAAAAGACTTTTTTTCGATGTCGAAAACACGAACTAGACTCGAATTACCTGCAATTGTAGCATTATCCCATCCTTGCAACAAGTTACCAATAGCTGCTGCAACAGCTACAAGCACAGCTCCACTCATTTTTCTCCACCAAAGAATCCCAAATCCTCACTCAACAGTGACACAGACACTTAACTAAGTACCCTGAAAGTTCAACAAAGAAAACCCAGAACATGGGGGTCGAAAATTAGTTGAAACCAGATCACAATCACCATGAAAAAGAAAAAATTGGTTTGTCCATGTACTAAAAGAGAGAAAACCCAAGATGGAAAACAAACAAAAGTTACAAGAAAATCAAAGTTAGTAAAAGAAACCCAGATTTCTAAGTTGAATATAAAACCAAAAAAAGAAGAAGACGAAGCTAACTTTACCTAGGGCTAGGGAAGTGAAGAAAAGTCAGATATGGCAGAAAGCAGCTGATAAAAGACTTTCAAGAATCCTCAGATGTACAAAGAGCCATAGCAGACTGTCATCACCTTTGGAATCAAAAAAAAAAAAACTGGAACTTGGTGATTGGGGTGATGAGGTTTTGTTTATTTTATTCAATTCATGGGGTTATTTTATTATAATTAACTAGTGGGGAAAAAAAGCTGATAATCTAGTCAACAACGGAGAGCCAGAGAGAGAGAAGACAGATGAAAAAGAGGTTATTTTGCCCTTTGGAAGGGTGCCACCTGCCTCCTTTTTTTTAAACAACAACAACAACAATAAAAAAACTCAATTCTCATATGCAATAGAGTAAGGAGAGGTAGAGTAGTAGGCTGCCCCCAACGCCAGGTTGAGAGTAGCTTCCGTGAAAGACCTTCGGCAGTCAGAAAATTAAAAATATAGATAAAGTGCAATGCATGTATAAATAAATACATAAATACAGAGTTGAACAGTATTCATATGCAGACATTAATATCAATTCATATGTTTGTTGGGCAGTAATCCCTGCAAATAAATCCATACGAAAAAATCTCTGCATATAGACAGAAACGTAAGACCCGACTAAATTTAAAAGTGAAGAGAATGTTACCAAAGTCAACGGAAAGCAAGCTCAGTTCTAACCGTTCATCAAATACCAATAACAGAAAACGTATAAAAAGTAGAAGTTACCCACACTACTCGACTACCCTAGTTTTGAGTCTCCATACTATCAGAGGTCATGTCCTCGGTAAGGGCTAAATCCATCAAATCAGATCTCAAGCAGTCTTCCCACTTCCGCCTTGGTCGTCCTCGCCTTCTGACACCGTCGACTGTAATCGACTCTACCTTCTGACCGCATCCGACGGTAGTCGCCTAAGGACATGCCCAACCACCGTAGTCTTCCCTCCCTCAATTTTCGGAAACAGGCACCACCCCCCCAAGGACATCCTAATAGCAGAGTTTGTTGTCCTATCCCACAAAGTCCTACCGCATGTCCATCGAAGTATTCTCATTTCTGCGGCCTCTATCCTTACATGATCCTTCTTGGTTGCCCAACATTCTGATCCATACAGCAGTGCTGGTCTTATTGTCATTCTATAAAATTTTCCCTTAAGTTTTAGAGGCACATTCTTGTCACACAAAACTCAGTAGCGGCCCTCCACTTTAGCCATCCCGCCTTTATACGGTGTGTAACGTCATCCCCCATCTTTATGTATCATAGACCCTAGGTACTTGAAACAATCCTTTGGGGAGAGAAACGTGTTCTTCTATGCATACTTCTACATCTTCATCGTTTTGGTCCCCACTGAAGTTTGAACATAAATACTGTCTTTTCAATATTGATCCTTAGACTTTTTCTTCCAAAGCAGTCTTCCAGGTAGCCAGTCTACTATTCAACTCAGATTTGTTTCAGCAACTAAGACAATGTCGTCAGCGAAAAGCATACACCATGGTACACCGTCAAGTGTCGCACAATAGATGCGTCCATAATCAAGGCGAAGATGTAAGGGCTAAGAGCTGACCCCTGGTGGAGTCTGATTTCCACTGGGAATGCCTCGGTGTCGCCAACTGTAGTTCTGACGTGTGTAGATCTACAATGCTATCACGAATCGCCTGGATATAAGCAGTTGGGATCCGTCCGTTTCCAAAGTCTTCCAGATCGTATCTCGGGGAACGCTATCATAAGCCTCTCAAGGTCAAGGAATGCCATGTGAAGATCTCTAGACTTTTCCATATATTCTCCATAAGTCGTCGAAGTAGATGAATCGCCTCCGTGGTAGACCTGCCTGGCATAAAGCCAAATTGATTTTCCGAAACCTAGTAACTTGTCTCAACCTAACCTCTATCACCCTTCCCATAGCTTCATGGTATGACTGAGTAGTTTATACTATATTACCACAACGTTGGGGATCTCCTTTATTCTTATAGATGGTATCACTGTGGACTCTCTCCTCCTCTGGGCAGTCTCTAAAATAATATTAAAGATGTTGGTCAACTTAACTCCTCTCCTAGGGCCAACCACACAGTGATAGGAATTGATCAGTACCGACAACTTTGTCCCTTCCCATCTCTAAGAGCCATTTGACTTCCCAAAACCCAATCCTACTTGAGGGCAGTCATTGGCCGTAGTATGATGCGGCTGACCCATCAACGGTACTATCTCTACAGGGAGAGGCACCGTCATTAAATAAGCCAAAGAAGTAACTACCCCAAACCATCTTAATATCATGATCTTTCGCTAAAACACCATTGTTGTCCTTAATAAACCTAATGCTACCTAGATCCTTTTCTTATTCTCCCTAGATTTTGCAAGCCTAAATATATGCCGTTTTGTCCATCCTTGGTGCTAATCTCTTGTACATTTCCTCGTATGCCTTATCCTTTGCTTTAGCCATCGTTTGCTTCCCGCTTTGCCTCCTTGTATCTTTGTTTAGCTCTCGACCTTTCTTCGTCGTCATTGCATTGTAGAAACTCCTTGAAGCAAGTTTGTTTTGTCTTCACCTTAGTTTGGACTTCGTCGTTCCACCACCACGATTCTTTATGTTCTTTGGCCTTTCCTGTCGACAACCCCAGGGTGTTTTTGCCCATCTCTCTGATGGAATTTGCCATATTTTTTCATAACAAATCTGCATTATTTGAGTTTGTAGTTCCAAAACCTGTATTAGACAAAACCTTACTCCTAAAGTCATCAGCTGTCGCTCCATGTAACTTCTTCCAAAGGATCCTAGGTTTACCCAGTTTAGCCATCCTATGAGTGCTCCGCCTGTGCGGTACGCGAAACACCAAAACCAATAATTTGTGTTGCGATGCGCATGCCTCTTCAGGGGACACCTCACAGTCAATGCAAGCCCATCGATCCCGATTTCGAACCAGGATATAGTCGATTTGGGTACAATGTCCCCCGCTATGAAACGTAATCAAGTTCGCATCTCTCTTATTAAATAAGGAGTTAGTGACCACAAATCGTATGCAGTAGCAAATTCAAGCAACGTACGTCCCTCATCGTTCCTGCTACCATAACCGAAACCCCCATGAACACCGTCAAACCCGTCGATTGCACTACCTATATGGCCATTGAAGTCTCCCCCTATGAAAACTCTTTGTCCTCCGAAATGCTCCTAAGTACTCATCTAAACTGATCCCAGAAGCAACGTTTCTCCCCCTCCCCTAGGCAACGTGTGGGGGCGTACACTAAAAGGACATTCACCATTCCTCTTCTATAATAACTCATTCACCACTTCCTCTTCTATAATAACCTTAATCATCATGATCCTATCCCGTTATCTACAAACTTCAACTACATTTTCCTTGAGCCTAGAGGATACCAAGATACCCACCCCATTTCTAGCTTTATCTACGCCTGAATACCACAACTTATACCTATTACACTCTATGGCGCGAGCCCCTTTCCACCTAGTCTCCTGAAAACATGCAAAATCTATTTTCCTATTATTAAGTACGTCGGTCAGCTCTAGCAGCCTAGCATTTAATGTGCCTACATTCAACGAGCAAACTCTAAGTCTAGTCTCCTTGTCACCACTATATCGAGCCCTCCCCCTATACGCCCCATGGGCTCTAAAAGACGGACATGACCTCAAGTAATCATCTATAGTCGAAGCTATGAGAAACTATGAAAAATGAAACCAAAGAAGACAGAAGATGCACCAGAAAACACTAGAGAATTGAGGGGTACTAAAAAGCCTAGTTGGTTACTAAGTACGATTTTAATTTATTACTAGTAAGTTTATTAACAATTATAAGATAAATTGTGTAATTAGGTTAATAATAATAATAAGTAAGTTTATTAACAATTATAAGGTTCAAACAAAGATCGACTGGAATAAAATATACGGGGGAAACAATATTAAAAGTACCTGATTCGTGGGTGATTTGAGCTTAAAAGAGAGAGCAAGAGAGAGAGAGAGAGAGGTCTAAGAGTTTACTTTTCAAGTCTGGGTAATATCTTAAAAATCCAGAGACAGTTCTCAAGAGTAATGAACGAATCAAAAACAACTGGATCACCTAATTAACACATAAATATCACTGATCCATTCAAAATAGACCAAAATAAAAAGTCTTAAATCTCTACAAAACAAATTTAAACTACGAAGGCAAGCCGATCTAAAAGATTCACATACAACGGACAGATTTAGTAAGAGAAAGCGAGGAAAGAATATACTCAGACAAAAATAAAATAAAAGTAAACAATAAACCCCAAAAAAGAGAGATCTTTTAGCTAGAAGCTGAAGAACACAAGTAGATCAACCACTTGTTTAACAGTGACTGTAATATGGGTGTTAAAGGGGTCGATGGTTCTCGGTCGAGCACAGGGAAAATAGGGAGAGATCAGAAAAACTGTAAAATTACACAATAACCCAGCAAACAAGTCGAGATTATAAACAAAGAAAACGCAAACGGAAGAACCTGTTGAAGCTGGTTGTGGATTTGAGAGTAGGACGATAGGAGCTAACGTTCATAAATCTGACAGAGTCAATAAAGCACCCAAAATTCACACCACTCGAAGCTCCTTAATCCCCTGGTCCCGATTTTAAGACCCGAAATCACAAATAATACCCCGATTTGTGTAGATCTATGGATCGTGAAAATGACCAAGAAATTAAAAAAGAAGGAAAGGCCTGCTGAGAGTGAGATTCTTTTTCTTTCAATGAATATAAAAACTATTTCTGGTCAATATCAACAATTTCTCTGCTGTTACACCAGCAAACAAGTCGAGATTCTACTGTTTGCCTCCTTTTTGTAACCTCTACTTAATTTGCACGTATAGGGTTGCACTTTATGTCTGTCACACATCGCTCTTCTTCTCACAAATTAAAAGTGTTAGTGGGAATAACACTTCATCTAATTATATTTAAATAATTATTTTAGAGTTATGATTTATTTATATAATATAATTTTTTTAATTATATATAAATTTAAAGTTGTTGAATTAGTGAAAATAAATAGTTTGATTTATTTTTTTATGTGTGAATAATTTTTCATTTCTTATTAATAATTTCAACTGTTTATTTTTACTTATCTAACGATATTAAATTTTTATAAGTTTTATATTATGTAATAAGATATTATCTCATTGTTCTAATTATTAAATTTTTAAATATATATTATTAAAAATTTGTAATAATTTATCAGA